AGAATTTCCACGCCCTTAATAAAAGCGAGCAACGCGAATGCTGATTAAAAAAAGTCTGGTTAATCTGTTAAAAAATGAGCCGTACGACGAAGATCCGGTAGTTTCGAAACGAAAAATCGTTTTTCGTTACTTCAAGAAATTTACAACTAACCGGACGACGAACACACGGATTCCTCGTCCCCTGGCTTCTCTTAGACCGCGTTCTTGTCCTTGAGCAACGCGTCTATGTCTTTCAGGATGTCGTCCGAAGCCATGTCCAACGTCAGGTACTCTTCTTCGTTCGCCAGACTGTCGCAGGTGTCCTTAGAATCGTCCCGCGGTTTAACATCCTGCGTCCTCTCGTCGTTCATCTCTAAAGCCTTTCGATCTTCATCCGTGCTACTATCACACAACCTGATCTCGACTTCGTTCTTCCTAGTCACGTCTAATCTGACCACAGAAGCGGACGATGAGCCTCTCCTTAATTGATCAGTCTTGCCTTGGACCTCCGGAAGGGTCGTTACCTCTTTCATATTTCTTTGCTCTTCGTCCTCGCCATCGAAGGAGCTGTGCTTCTTCGGTGACCTTCTCAGTTTAACTGGAGGCACGTTACCAACGTATGAACGGTCGGTACATCTGATCTTATGTCTAGCAGTGTCTTCCTCCTCGCAGTCGTCCAGGGATCTCTTCACTCCTCTGGTGGAGATCGTATCTCTCAGTTCTGTTAAAGATTTGATCGCGTCTTTTAAAAATTCTCCAGAATTTTCATCCCTCTCGATTGACTCCTTCTTCATCTTCTCCTCGTTCTTGGATCTGTCCTTCTCCTGGAAAAGGTTCCGCCTCTTCCGACGGCGTATCTCCTCCAAGCTGAGCACCTCGAAGTTCATTCCTTTCTCGCCCTTGTTCTCTTTGCTCAACTGCGGGTAGAGACAGATCCTTCTGGTCTTGCGCGTCTTCATTTTACCGCCGCCCGCGTCGCTCTGATTATAATCGTCGACCTGATAGGAGTAGTAAGCCGCGCTCTCGGCTTGGATCTCCTCCAAACGGATCTCCTCGTAGGTTTTGCAGTACGGGATCCTCGGCTGCGGTTTTACCGGCGACGGTACACTTTCATTGTCAGACTCTGCAAGAAACATATCACGAACATTGCGGGAATCTCTCTTGGGCAACTGAGGATAATCCACGTGTCGCGGTGGCCTTTTATAGGTTCCTCTTTTTTTTTTTTTATTTTTGATAATTATGATTAAACGACATCGGGCAGAATTCTTATTCAACTTTCTGACCATCTAATTAGATAGATTGATCGGCTTCCAAGTCCTTTCAATATGAAACATCAATTTAATGAACTCTCGGGTAAGACAGTGGTTAACAACTTTAGTCGGATTTCTGTTTACACGTTTCTCAGTGTCTGATTTCTCGGATTGGAGAATTGTCGACTTTTCTCAAGGGGCGTTTCGGTATCAGACGTTTTTTTTTTTAAAGTTCGTTTATCGACCTAAGCAAGTTTACGTTCATAGCTAGAATCAAGGAGAGAGTTTAGTACAGTTCCAATACTTTGATCGATATCCCTCGGCTTGCCTCCTTTTATCCTCTCCCTCTCATTCGGGTGGCTCGATTAGTTATCGTACTTCCTATTACACGGACCACGTGACTAATCACGAGTTTTTCGGTATTAATTAAACACACTTTGCAGCTGCTCCGATCGATTGAATTGCACTTATGAAATCCAATAGGTGATCCATTATCGTCGTCGTAGACTTTACACACTTGCTCCTGTTCAGAATCAGCCCCACTCCCTTTTCCACGAGGAGGTCTGTTTGAAAATTCATTCATTGCCTTCGATTATCAAATATCTCTTCTATCGCCGGGATTCACTCATAAAACTTCGTCACGAAACTTCTTGCCTTTTTTTTGCCTTTACAGACGAACGCGACACAGTCCAGAATCAAATTGCCTACACCAGCGTTAAGCAAAAAACAAAAACAGATTCAGATGGGATAATGAGAAGAGTGACGATTTAAAATTGCTACCCTTCTTCATTTTTTGGGAAATAATTACAATTCTCAGAAGAGAGTAAGTCCATCAAAAAAGAACTAGAATTGGTCAAGAGGAGAAACATTGAAACGCGTTCAGGCCAACAGACAAATTATTGCAAGTGTTAAACTAGACGAATCCTGATCGTGAGATCCAGCATATCATACATTCATCGAAACAGCATATTCGTTATTTGCAATAATCTTAGTTAGCCACTTTACATCGTCGAGTGTAAAGAAATTGAGAACACCATAATACACATCAGTGTACAAAGACGATTAGTTCTGAATCAATGGAATCGCGTTTCATTCATCGTTTACGATCTATTCATGTGAATTAAGAGAAAAAAAAAAAAATCGCCTCTGTCACGCTGGCATTATCACCCACGTCCGTTTCATGGCATCAAATTTATTGAACTCCAAGTAATTGTCTCGATAAAAATTAATGTTTTCCATTCGTTTACATCGATTAATACGGAATTAGTTATCGCATATTCGGCATATAATCTCTCTCATTCTCACTCTCACTCTCTCTCTCTCTCGTCTTTTTTTTTTTTTGTCTCTCGATTTGCGTCCCTATTTATTTGTAAAATTAAAGGGTCCTGCTCGCCTCTCTCTCTCTCTCTCGTCAATTTGCTAAACAAACTGTTTCGGTAATCGCGAAGGAATACAACGACAATTTCGGTTGTCCTCGAACTTCATACAAATAATTTACGACTGAGAAACCGTTGCCTTTTTTTGATTTCAAGGTGTAAGCGAGAAAGGGACGAGTTTAGAAATTGGAAATTGTCGTTGATCGAAAATCATCTGCACACGACGTTTTTTAAACGTGCGCGCGTTGCAGTTTGAAAAAGGAAAGAGAAAAGACGTAAGTAACAAAATCGATAGACAAATAACGTTCGCATCGCCGGGGCTCGGCGGCGATAACANGTCCGCTTAAAAGGAACAGGAACGATTCGAGAAGCGCGTTACAAAACGAGAAAATAAACAAAAATGCTTTTTTTAAAAAATTACTAACAAACGTTCGAGGAATAATGATTATGCATCTAACGAAACGAAAAAAAAAAGAAAAAAGAAAAAGATTATACAAATATCACGTGATATAATAATAATAAGCTGCGGTGAGCCGTCGGAGAAATTTTCTATAAAATGCAGCAGAAAAAAAGAAAAACAGAAAAACAAGAGCGTGGGTGAGTCGAGTCGACGTTCGATACGTGACGCCTCCAACGATTCGACAGAATCGACGACGAGTCTTTTGCAAACGCAGCCGTAAACGGCGTTAAGTAAATGCGTCGCTCGATTGGCTAACGCGAACGAGACAAACGATATTAAAAAATAAATTCAGCTAACAAAACGGTGACCAAAGGTCATCGCCGGGCGACCACGAGTCCAGCTGCCGATACTTCTTTCTTTTTTTTTTTTTTTTTCTTCTTTCCTTCTCTTCACGCGGTTTAAACGTTCTAAGTCAGCGGCTCTCGTAACTCTTTATCTTCGCCTGCGGATAAGCACGCACACACGCACCCGCCGGTAGATGACACGGAGCCAAGCCGGGGTTCCACTTGACGAGCGCGTCTCGAACGAGGAAGATAACGAAGGACGATAATCGAGACTTAAATTTCCGAGTGGACGAACGACGTCGGAGAGGCTGTGATCGACAAATGGGACCCCCGCACCTTTTACAAGTCGTGCGCTTCCAAGAGGACAAGCGGTTAATTGCACTTACTAAGCGAGAATGGCGTTAAAAGACGGGATCCTCTCGGATCCAGAATCGCGTTTCTCGTTTGAGAGACGACCGGATCTGTTCTCGGCCGCGTTCTCAAACGTCTTTTGCCATTCTCCGAACTCTTCCCTCCTCCTCCTCCTCTCACCGTACTTCGTTCTCTTTCATTCTTCTACCCATTTGTTTAATTCTCTCGCAAATACGCTCTCTCTCTCTCTCTCTTTATCTCTTCGTCGCACGCAAACGTATTACGAAACGCTAGTTGAAAAAATAAATGTTTCATGCGGCGTCGCCGACGACCCACAACAGTGGTCGCCTCTGTAATCATCGTACTTTCTGCGTAATATCGTAACATTCCCATGCGCTATTATCACATTTGTAGTTTCCTCTCGCGGATTTGAGACACAGATCTCATATTTGCCTATTGATTGCATGGTGAGACTAAATGAAAAAGTACCTTCCACCGGCAAGATCATCGACACCGAGAAGAACAACAGAAATTAAACAGGGTAAAAAATGAAAAGAAAAGAAACAACAGAAATGTCCGTCGTTCCACGCATACCACATACTCTCGATCGATCGCCAGATCCTTCGCTTGCTTAAATATACAATTCTTCCTCTCTCCCAGCGTTCCTATTCGCACGTCTCTCGTATATCCTTTCATCCCCCTTTCCTCCGTTTCGGATCACAAGCTTCTCGTTCGCACGTCTCCTGTGTAGCTCACAAGCGTTATGTAGAAAATAACAGATCTCCCGTTCCCGAATGATCTCGAGGTTGTTTTTTATTTTTTTTCTCTAATCGTGGAAAGAAAAATCACGATCACGTTCTCTCCCTGAACCGTGACTCTTTCGATGAACGCCACTAATTTTCTGCCGTTACTCGTTTTCGAGAAACAAAATTATTATTGAACAGGAGGTGAAGACGAAAAGTCTAGGCACTAGAACGTAGAATTCTACCCGTATAGAAAAACTGCGATAGTCAATGATAATAATCCCGGAGCCGTGCAGATTTCACGGGTATTAATTATAAATCTCAATGGTTGATTATATCGATATCAGTTTTTTTTTTAAATATAATTAATTATAGTTTGACGCTGTTACGATAAATCTGATAACGAAGATTACGCCCGACCTTATATCTCCCGTTTATACGTATCTCTCGCGCGGACCTAGGCGCAAATAGTATTCCGTAATAAAAATAAGAAATATATATGTCTATATATCATTATATGTACATACACGTACGTTTGCTTTCACTGGGATCTAAAATGTTCTTACGTCGAAAGAATCTACGTCTCGTGTTTTTTCTTTTCTATCCATTTTCAACATCCTAATAATAAATTAAGCGACATATATAATAATAATAGTAGTCAGCGACGCGACTGAAAACAAAATTTACATATGTTACTATTCCACCGAGTTCCGCCCTCGTTACTTTTTTTCCTATTTAAGAGCACGTGTACATGTAAATATGTATTTGTATATGCATGCAATACGTGTTACACTTAAAGTTGCATCTTTTTTTTTTTTTCTCTCCTCCTTCTCCTCCTTCTCCTCGTAATTAGGAATTCTCTCATCGCGAGTGCTTATCCGTTCCTCTATTATCGACGACGCGCGCGTGCGAATACGTAAACATATACACGCGTAATTAAGTATATATTTATATATTCATACGCCTCTGCTTTTCATCTATATTATATATCGTTCGATCATTTATCTAAATATTCATGCGCGATCTCTCTGTCTGCTGCCCGCCTCGCTCAACGATTTCACTAAATCGAGGGAGAGACGGAAGCAGCAAAGTAATAAACATGTCTCCATCGACGAAAGAAACGAAACGTATCGAATCAGCGATACTCCGTACTTTAACGACTGTCATCGAGAAATTTTGCAAATATCACTGAAACGTAAATTCTGTCGAAATCAAGCTGGAACGTAACGCGAACACGGGAACGAAACGTGTGTCACACTCCGGATTCAGATTTAACGAAACGTTCGTTTCTCTCTTTAAGTTTCACGCATATTTATAGTATATAATTATATTAAACGATTTTCTTGCCATTCGTACGATTATGCATAAATGATTTGTTGTTTGCTTTCAGATGCAACAGTGTTGGCGCTGTTGTAACAAATTTTGTCTAAATACGATTAGCTAAACCGCTTGCTCGTTTATTATCCCATGCCGTTCATTAGAAACTCGCTAATTCGTATAGGAAGCCAAAACATATGAAGGCATTTATCATATTATTCGTTATTCGTGTGGTACGCGCTATATAAATCAAGGCTGGGATATTACGATTGAATCGGATACTGCGTATTTCTGTTCAACGAAAAGGCCCGTATACGTTTTTCCACGCCGCTCTCTATCGTCCGTCTCCACCTTTGACTTTCTTCATTTTGTTATTTTTCAATGATAAAAACACGTGGCCGGGGGGCCACGTGCGAGAGTGCGCGAAAGAAAGAAGAGAAAGCACATGTTTCAGGCAGTATTCGACTCGAATAATTTTGCTTCCGCGGTTTACAATGCTCTGTCGAGTGTTCGAAGCATAACGATGACAGGTTTCCTAACCTCGTACAACGGACACATCTGTTTCTCGCGGTAATCGGTTATGCTTCGAGGTTATGCTTCGAGGTTATTCCTCTTCTCTAAGAGAATTTTCCACTTCGGACGATTAAAACAGCGAACATGATGAAAAATTAGTGTTTCTTCGTTAAAAACTAAAGGGACTCCTTCACCCTGAACCAATTTCGTTCGTCGAATCGGTTATCAAGTAATTCTGTGCGAGTTCAAATCGTGTGTGTGGCAAAGCGACGACCCATAGCTATCTTCTTATTTCTCATCCGGTCATAGCACAACGAAAAGACTTGTGTGTGTGGGGGGGTAACTTCGTTCTTGGTACGGTATTTTTTTTGTTTTTCGCTTTCTTTTCTATTATGCGGCGTTCGTGAAAATTCAAGGCTCATCGCGCTGCCGCTGGAGAAAGATAGCCATAGGCAGTTAGAGGGCTACAGGCAAAGTTTAGATATAGCAGCCCCTGCAAAAATTGATATTCAAATCTACGTGGTTTTTTTTTGTCTTTTTCTTCATAGTTTTTTATAATATCTTCTCTTTTTAATTGTTATCATTCAATCATCGAGCGAAATTTTGAACGTACAGTTAATTCTCGTTTTCTTTTCTTTTTTTTTGTTTTCTAATCGATGATCTATGATAATGTTAACTATGCAACTGTGTTCCGGTGTTAAAACGTTAATCCCGATTATGACTAGCCAGTAATGTAAAACAATATCCGATGAGAACACAGTTTGTTCGTTAGAATCTAAATGTTGCATGTTATCCCTCTTCCCTCTGTGATTATACATCGTTAAGTGTGTACAGAAAATTATACGTGTGAATCGATCATTATATTTGAAACGACACACACCTTTCACTGATAACTTTCAAGTGTAATATACACAAACGTTTTCTGAAACGATCTTTCAAAGAAATCCTTTACATACCAATATGATTTTCTCAACGATCTTATGCTATCCAATAATAAAGACGACGATGTAGATCACCTATTGCTTTTCACTGCTTACTCTCAACTGATCAAGTAATTTCTTGCACATATACTTCGTCCATATATATACTCATATATATATGTATTACGATACTTCTCTTGCTCTTTTATATAAGCTAAATAAAAAAAAACAACAAACATTCTATTGATGTTTCATATGTATCGATAAACTCTAAATGGTGCAGTCTTTATTATTGAAGAGAAAATTTAAAACATATCTCGTTAAGTTTACAATACATCAACGTGTATGTGACACTATCAAAAGCCATTAATATTAGCAAAATATGTTAGAAGTTTTCAATGAATTGCAACTTTTCTGTCTCCGTGTTTTTTTTTTGTTCTTTTTGCTTTTCGTTAATTCGTCTGATTAAAATAAACTAAGCGAAAAATCGATTAAGTATCGGAAATATACTAACGTTCCTGGTGCTCAATCAATGTAAAAAAGAAAAAGAAACGTGATTGGAAGTACAACTTTCTCTCAGTTTTACATATTAAGTATCGTCTCTAGCCTCAAACAAATAAAAGGAAATAACATCTAATCGTTCCATATGTGTGTGTGACTTTTTTTTTATCTTGCACATTTCATGAACGTATTTACCATTTCTACGTTGGTTATTTGGTCGATAGAAACTTACATTGTCGCGGTCAGGCCGTGCCTGAGGGCTTTAAAACCGTCTGTACGACGTCATTTCGAGATATGGAAATGGGAACCTTGATGTTTGAGGCTGAGAGGTTTGCTGCGTGTGAATCGGCGAGTATGGAGGTTGCTGGAGGAGCGGTGAGCTCTGCTGATTTTGCATCGGCGACAGTGACTGACCGGGCGAGTGTGAATGCAGGTTTTGTGGGTGGGAGTAGGGCAACGCGGGGTGGCAGGGCGAGCTCTGAGAATTTTGTACATTGGCCTGCGGTATGCTCAAATTGTTTGTCACGTTGATGTTGTTTAGTATGTTCAGGCTGTTAGAGACGTTATTAGGGATTGTCAGATTGCTGGGTATACTGAGTGTGTTCGGGATGCTTATGCTCGTTTGTAGATTGGGTGGTAGGGAAAGTGTGGCCGACGTAAGGTAATGTACGCTGAAAGATGGACGGGGGGGCTAGTAAAGCCTCATACCTTCTTCAAATTTGACGATAAGAGGATCGACGGCTGGACTGCCGATGAAACTGCCTGCTTCGCTGCTGCCTCTGCCTTGATCCGACTCAGTGCTACTACCGTCGTATTTTGTGTCTTCCGCTGTTAAAGAGAAAGGAACGTTTCGTGATTCGAACGAAATTCAACTGAGACTCGATCGTTTAACTGGAGATATTTCGGACGTTTCCTTATTTTTCAACTTTCGATCTTTTTCTGTGTTACCCCCTAAATTGTACAGGATTATTCTTTTGTTCACTGAGACTTATGAAATAGCCGAAGGCAATTAACCTGGAGACAGGGGCGGAGGAGAAGTGCATGAAAGAAAGACTAGCAATGGTAAGAGGGAGAGGAATAAGAGTGAATGGGAAAAGGAATGAATACAGCGCAAGGTCAAGGTTTGAGAGGGAGAGAATGTAAGGATGAAAGAGAGGGAGTGGAAGAATGAAAGGGAAAGAACGGAGGTGCAAAGCAGTGTACCGCGTGGGAAGATATTCTTTCTTAGTCAATACTATAAGGCGGATATTTACCATTGTAATCCCGAAAGGGAAAGCCATAAAGCCATTAAAACTTACAGATTTCCCTTGTCCAATTGCTTTCAGAGTATCGTAAGTCAAGGAGATAAGACAAAATAAAAAGATAAAAAGTTGAAAAACTAAGTAATAACTATAAAACTAACTAATACTTGTTATTTTTACCTTGACGATTAAGCCATTCCTGATTCATTGTCTTGGATGACAAATCGAAATTCTTCACTGGGTTGATAGGATCGTTAGTGATCGTACGAGCATTTTTATGCATAAACGAACAATGTGGTTTCCTGCAACCTCCCGGTTGTGTCTCCCAATAACATGGAATCGACTTACGATTTTTCTATTTAAACAAACAGAGGTAAATCATTAACTAAGTGCTCGGACGCTTGATTCATGTTCAACTAATCTCGGATTAGAAATATCCTTACTCTTAATTCCATATGCCTAAAGTTACAATGTTCATCGAGGCATTTACCCTGTTGCCAATAAACGCACATTGTTTCACAACCCAATGCAGATGGTTCATGTCTGAATGGACAATTGTCACCCTACAAATACGTATTAGTTCATAAGAAAATAGAACAAATAAAAAAGGTGCATGCATCTAACATTTTCAATAGTTGCAGTGCTCAAGTGAAGTATTGATACTGCAAGCTATATCGTAATGAATATTACAAATCATGATCAGATTTGTACTAGCAAGCATTATAACTTTAAATTGTTCGAATTATGTCAATAATATAAATTGTTCAAATTACGTGCAAAAATAAGATGTCTTAACGGTAATCAGATAAAATTAATTGAATCGCTAGATCAAAAATGATAATATAACAGCTAAGCAATGTGATTTTGTTAATTATTTTAAAAATTAGGATATCGTCGAGCTTAACTCCAACATGGCCGATCTAACCTCGCAAACTGTACGGATCCGAAACAATATGGAACGGATATCTATCGGTCGTCAGAAAATCGCGTCTCGACGTTTTCCGCGATCTATTTTAATAGAGCATACGTACCTTTGTGCACGTTGAGTAATAGAAAAAATAACAGTCGGTATTCTTGTGACTGTGCTCCATTTGCAAGAACTGATAGGAAGATGAGTGATCGTGTTCCTTACTGAAAAGACAAAACGTTTGAACTAATTCGGAGGAGGTCACTGGAGGAGGATTGATTAGACGATCCGCGGAAACGAGATATGAAACGTGTTACCATTTCGTGCGAAACATGATTGCGAGAGAACGGAGAGACGAGTGTGTAACATTCGCCACTAGCAGCAATGTTATGGAAAATTCGATTTGAATATAAATGGCTAGCAGGCTACGTGTATTTGTACCCTCGGTTCGGCGACGACCCCTTTTTTTTCGTCAACGCTTACCGGAGTTGTGTATATTCATTACTTACGTGTGGTGGCAGTGATTCCTTGGATGACTTCTTTTTTGTCCGTTCGCTTTGACCCACACACTAAATCGACTCACACACAGATTCAAGTAAATAATTCGACCGTGGCACTTGTCGCCCCTTTCGTTGGAGACGCTATTGTCGCTACTGTCTCTTTCGCTAGTCGCCAACAGGCATGATGACGTAAACTTCCGATTAGACCCGAACACGCCCGAACGTTCTGGCGGGCTTTTATTCAATTTTCAAACGTTCCGTAAAAAATCCTTTCTTTCGTACGCACCGAAACTGAATTATTAACAATTTTGAAAAGCGTCAGAAGTTCAACTTTCATTAGTTTATTTACATCTGCTACTTTCTAACAGATTCTCTTATAAATCGCAATACATTTATTATAATGAGGGAAAGAAATGTTAAACGCCGGGGAAGCATTAGAACAGAACTCCTACCAAGTATAGACCCAACCATTAAAAAAATATTATAAGTATATAAAACTGGCGATAAACATACTTAAGTTAACAGTAATATATACCATTTACGCGCGTACTTAATATATAATAATAGTCACGAGGTTATAGCGAAGATGCTGAAAATATATTTATACAAATAATACTATAGATACATACTTTCTGAAACTCTTTATATTTATTATACGTATATGTGTTTTTACGATATTCTAGAGTCCTTATGTATACTCGTGGGACCAGAGTTGTTAGAAATGATAAAAAATAATTAGACCCGAAGACAAAAGAGAATAACAGCGTGAAAATTACTGAAATTATGATATCTTGCGTTTTATTAAGATAACTTATAGTCAGTCACAAAACTTAAGCTGCTTAACACTGTTAAATGGCATACGCTTACTTATCTGTAAGTTAGAAGATATGTTATAACAATATGGTTTTTTTTTTAATGAAAATAACTGGCGTAATATCAATAAAAGGGAAGTATTCTAAACTAAATCGTTGAACAAAAGCACTGTTAGTTTATAAAAGAATTTAATAATATAACACAATATTTCAAAAACGTTACGAACATCATTTCCTTTGAATGTTAAAAATACGTATGTTGTATATGGAAGTAACGAAAATACGTCGCGTAAGTAAATCTTAGTCTCATCGTAACACATAGACTATATATCTACTGATTTCAGATATTCTAAAATGTTTGCACTTAATTCTCTTATCTATCCATAGATATGCAATTTTTATATATATATTACATCCGCGTAACTGAGAACAGAATTTTTAATGCGACACTTAAATATAATATTTAATAAAAATGGACGAAACATTTTAAGAACAAAGAAAGACAATAAAACTTTAAACCAAACTTGTTTACATGTCTGTCCTAAACAATTTTGGCGATGGATGTTACAGTAAAAAACATGAATTATGAAAAGAGAACTTCGTAAAATGGGAAACGAATCAATAATTTCGATTGATATACGCTAGAAAAATACCTGACTGCGTCACGACAAGTGGATTGGCCAGCAACCCTTTCAAACGAAATCCACAGTAACGAACAATCGTTAAACGTGAATATATCACAACGGTACATAGTACATTACGACGAACTTATTTAGTCGATTACAGTACACGATTAGATTGTAATTTTAATTGAATGTAGTTCAATATTATGCAGTTCGAGGGTAAGAGCGTAAATATCAATTGCATACCCTTAGTTTAAAGATAATACAAGGGATAACGTAATAACATCGAATTCACAGTCTTATAAAAACATTTCAGATTATCACTGTTAATAGATTATTATTTATAGTCGTTCTCGTGATCGTTCGTCTAGTTCACGCGTAGATCGGTGAAATAAGTCACCGACGAAATATACGCGATACGAACGAACAGACCTTCATCAATTTTCAAGCTAGACAATCTACTCGTAGGCTCGAACGATCTGTGTCATTCAATATCCATTAATATTAATATCTCACATTTATTACATTGCATTTAATGGATACTTCTGACGATTCGCGTTTAAAAGTTACGAAATTCGTCAGAACATTTGTGACGAGGAGAACGGAAAGCATTGGTAAAAAATTTATATTCAATTCTCTGTTTCAACAATCACTGCTATAAAATCAAATATATATATATATGTATATATATACGTATGTATAATATTGCAATATGTTATTTCGACTAGCATACTACAATCCATGTTTACGTACGCCTCGTTATCTATATAATGCAACAAATATATTATGTGCAAATATTAACAACCTCGTATGTACATCACCTTTTTTCGACTACCGCAGATTCTCATTTACATTTCTGAGAATGTTCATTGAATTTTTGTTATCAACGAAAACACTAAACACTGACTACTATTGCCATAGTTATCGCCTTATGCTTGTTCGTAGTAAGAGAACAGCATCGTTTCACGCGAAATATGATTCTCGTATGGAACTGAATACTTTCTCAATTATTACATTGTTAAGTAGGTGAACGGCAGTTGCTGGCGTAATCGGGATAAAGAAGACGATGAAAAAGGCTGTAGGCAAGTGACGTCCTTGCGTAAAATTGGTAATAACGAAAATTCGAGCAGATTAAATGTAAATTACATAAAAACGTTTGGTAAACGTTAATGAACGTTTTCAATGAAATAGAAATTAATTAACAATTAGGAAAATTATTATTACGACTTATTCGAGCTACAGCATTTGGAACAATCGAAACAGCTGCTGTGCTATCTCTTCGACGACCAGGATGGACGCGTACTACTTCCGATTATTTGATTTTGAAGCTCCATTATTGTTCCTTGCAAGGCTCTCTTCTCCTTCAGAAGCAGCTGTATGTCTTCTTGCGCGGCGCTCAAATGGGATTTTATCACGTCGGTCTCCTCCTTTATACGGATCAATTTCGTGTTCTCTTCTGATAATTTCTCCAAGGCGTTAAGGCGACGTTGAAGTTCCTCGTTGTCCGATTTCAACTGCCTGCTCGACTGCCTCAAAACGTTTAATTCCATTTCATTGCTGATATATTGGTCTGTCTGATTATCACTGTTCGTCAGCATCGTCAGGGAATTACACGTGCTCAACGTGTTTGCTAGAAATCAAATTAATTAATTAGAGTAGAGAAAATAAACTGTTCTGTGATTGTCTACGAAAAATGTAAGAGCTGTGCTATTAATGAAAAGTAACTTGTTATTTAATGTAGATAGTAAATAAACGATATTCAGGATGGGACAAATTCTGGAACCAGTTTATATCTTCTAAGGTAATAGTTTTTATAAAAAATGATACAAATAGAAAATACATTCGACGAGACTAGTTTTTCTTTATACAAATACTGAATTATCTCCCTCTTGATGTCATACAACTTTTATGTAAAATATTTTTTATAAGAAGCTATTATTTTAGAGAAAATCGAACTGGTTCGAATTAAATACACCACCCTGTATATTCCCATTATTTATGAACAGTAAGCAATATCGATAAAACTCCTTAAATCGTATTTAGATATGGTATGTTCACTCATGCCAATTCGCGTATCATTAAACGTTTTAATAAGCATATCTGACAAGCGGCGAGACAAATGATATTCTCGTTATTTGAGAAAAAGTAAAAGTAAAACATGCCTGATTAAGTGCAAATCTAAAACTCTATTCAATTATCCTCCTATTATTGTTTAAGCAGAAAGATCTACTACTAGTTGTCTAATTGTTTCGTGTTAATGCTCACATTAGAAAGGCCATCTGAATGCACGGGACAATTACACACGCTGTATATCAATTCGAACAAAAATTAAATAAATTCGCCACTTATGTACTTGAAAAACGTACTACGACAACTCTCTATGGTATATTACTGTACTAGGTTTTTTCTTTTCGTAAATTACAAGTGGCAGGTAATATTAAAGAGCTAATTGTTAGAATGTAAAATTATATCGCGACTTACCAACTGGTTCAATGCGAAAAACTCCATCGGTGTCTCGTATTACTCTAAGTTTCGAGACGTTCAGATCTATAGGAATTGGTCCTGGCGAAGTGATATTATTCGGAGGACGATCTTCGTTCAATCGTAACGATATATTTTCTAAATAGATCTGCAACAGAAGTACAAGAATTTAGCATAAGACGAGAGAAAACTGATTCGGTGTATGAATAATTAAATGAGATTTCATTCACCTGTAATGGTATTGGTTTGGGTATAATCTCGTCTTCGATCAGATCTGTGAGTCCAGTTATTGAACTCATTGATAAGGACATAGATATATTAGTAACTTTCACTTCTAATTTGTCTTCGAACAGATCCAGAACGCTCTGTTTATTATGCAGGTCGATGGCGGGGGCATCCGCTCCTTGCTCGGTCGCGTTATTCTGATTTTGATTCCGGGATACAGGCGTATTTTTGTTGCTTATCGTTCGGCTTGCTTGAGACAATCTCCATGAGTCCGACTTGGATTTTAAACCGTGATCCAATCGTACTTTAATGCAGGATCTGCAGTTTGAATCTGAAGGCAGTTCGAGCCAGCCTCTAGACCGGGCACTGAATTTTGTCTGATAAACAAAAATTGTTGAAAGATCAATTTATATAAAATTTATATATATATGTATATATATAAATAATGTTTAATGTATTTATGCTTCTACAATAAAACGGAATTTATTTATTCGATCAGTTCTGAAATTCTTAGCATTTTTCAATTGGAAATCAAAACAAATTAAATTGCGAACTCGTCTGAAGGAAAAATCTCAAATGCGAAGCTGCGTTTAATATTATGTTCTCAGTTCCATGTATCACATAAGAGAATAAATGTATTATTTCTTATTAACGATATATTTAATAGTTTTTTAATAGGACAGATATATCTATTCTCGTTATGCTTAATTAGATAACTGCAATTTATAAAAAATACACATATTTGTAATTGCACGCAGAAGCTTCTCAAATTCATTCCAACTAAGCATTACTTCAGACCATGCCACTTATTACAGTTTCGATACATGTATTATCAAATTAAAAGTTAAGAAGCTTTAAAATCTTTATCAACGAACCAAAAATGCTTAGACAATTAATTTATAAATAATCGAATATTGTCTGCTGTTTATGCAACTTAGAGATTCAATAAAATACGTCACGTACTCTACAAATGTATCTTTTTATAAATTATTAATTCGTCAAATCAATTTAAAAAATATTCAAGTATCCCAAAAGTTATTTTAAAGACACAAGAGTAAATAAATTGATAGAAATATTTGTACAAGTTAAAATAGAAGATCTTCATATGTTACATTTGTACAGTAGAGTGACTTGAATTTGAAAGGAATAAGCATGCAACGAAATGTACATAGTACATGGCGTTTAATACAAATAAATATATAAGTTGTTCTTGCCAATACCTTCCTCTTCACCTGCCACAAGTGCCACATAAAAACATTCACAAGAGAAGGAGAGACGCAGGAGAAGCATGCAAAAAAGTTAAAAGACAAACATTGTATAAATACATATAATAGTATAAAAATGTTTGTAATGTAATGTGATACTTATATATATATATAAAAGCTAGAAATGAAACCGAAATGTTCTGTGGCATACAGAAATATGTAACTGGGAATTAAATGATGTTAGTTATTAAATAGAACTTTATACAAGAAACCCGTTTTTTAAACGGTATGCTGCGTTACTGTTTCAGTGTATTTGCAATTATGTAGCCGAACACGTCTTGATTGTGTAATGGATATATTATTCTATGAAACTCGTGTTAATCGGAAGTATGTCAACTTTTTACACAAACAAAAAGCACTTTGTACATGTGTGAAAAAAAAAGACAGATTAAAAACCTTCTAATAAATTATCGTACGGAAGAAGTACTAAGTAACAATACAATTTCAATTGCAGCGGTATTGAAAAATTTTAATTGAAATCTATTTTAGTAGATCAAAAGTAGCGTATTGTATGTAATTTGCAAACAAGAAGATTAATTATGGAATTTATTGAAATAATTCGTCCTACCTGAAACTCGTCCCATGGGATAGACGAACATTCGTCGTTACCAATATTCGCGACTTGTACCTTGATCGTCGATTCGTACCCAGAAGATTGTTGAATAAATTCGACTTTGGACAGTTTGAACGTCGCCATGGACACCTGAAAATCATTCAATTAATCAACAGCTCGAGAATCCACTGTGTTTCATCAAATAATTGAACTTACAATATCCTTCCGTTTGCACACGCTGTCCATAGATTTCTCGCTCTGGGTATCAGGCGTCTCTTCTACCACTTCACTAGCTTCCTCGACCGCCGTTATTCGAATCGAATTATCAACAGAGAATATCGCGTCTAATTTCTCCTGATCCTGAAGGCTTATCAATACGTAATTCTCGCTGTCCGAGCTAACGTCGCTCCTAATAGACATAGTGTCACTGCTACCGTCTTCCGGGGAAGCCTTAAGAGCCGAATCGATAGACGTCATCAAATTACTGAATCCCTTTTTCATAGAAGAAAGCCCGACGTTGAAATTATTAGGAATGAACGGCGTGTTCGAGGCCGAGTCGCCTTTCCCGTGTTTATGAGCAGCATCAGTGGCGTATCTTAAAGTAGGCAACACTTTCTCTTCTTCAATACCGATGCACTGTTTCTCATGCATCGCGTTGCCTATTTGATCATGTTTATTCGTACCGTTCTGCTTGAACGTCACTACAGTTTGAGACGGATTAACAGGATGCATGAAGTCCATAGACAACATCGACGATACGTCGCTTTGCGGTGTTGCTATTTCTGTACTTATGTTGATCTTTTTACTGGTGCTCTCGATTCGTTCGGTGTTCTGCCACGGGATAGACGAGCCCGGAAGATCGTCGGCTATGCTAGACGAATCCGGCATGACCGATTCCAAATCGCCGCCAGAATTCTCCTTGCCGGGAGTATGCGACGGCATTACGAACGTCACTTCTACTTGCGGTATTAGCGCGCCGATCACGAGCGAACTGTCCGAGTCTATGTTCAATATTTTATTGGAATCGATGGTTAAATACGTCGCCATTTCTGATAAGATTTCCGATAGTCTCAGTAAGAACAGATACTGGTAATGATTTATTTGCACGCTAACTAGATTGCTTATATACGCGAGACCGTGGATGTCGGCGGCAGAAGACTTCCCCTCTGTTGAATCATTCTCCGACGGCTTCATCGAGACGTAGCACCACAGTGTTAAAGGGAACGCGTCGAGGAACGGAACAGGGCGGTTCTGGCCTACCGCGCGTGCACCGAGGAAATCGCCCCAAACAGGCTCCAAATTGCAACACCATATGTCTTTTGCTTCGGTCCATAAAAGTTCTCGATGCAACTGGCGGACCAGTTCGTTCACTGAATTACTTGTGAAATTAGGCGGTGGGTAACGGATATTATCCGTACCTAAATAATAAACATGCATATAGAAAAAAATGCATCTCATAAAATATATAGAATTTTTAGAACTGTTCGATTTAAATGAGAGAACTTTACCTGCACAATGTGCTAAGAATTTGTCTGTTAATACGTGGAAATCTTCTGAACGATTCGGGAATTCTGTACCGAAGAACATTTGACCCATTTGGAAGGCATTTAGACA